GTGCACGAGGGACGAAGAAGGATATTCCGACTGAAGATCCACCAATACCGAGCAGTCCAATCGAAGCTATTATTGCTCTTGGCTCTCAGCCTTTGAGGCTCTCTTGGCCCCTTGCCACTGGCTATCCTGTACTCATCCGATCCATAGGGCAAGTCACCCGACAGCATCACCTGCCAGCATTTTGTAGGCAGTGCTCATGTCCTGTCACTCCTGTCAACTTCACCGCAAATCCAAGATTGGCGAAGCCTATGCGTTCGCAAAATCTTGGATTGGCTGCATACTGTACGATCTTCGGTCACACACGGCGAACATATTCTCCTTGCTCCTCTTCGCCCTACAGTGACATTTGTGCGATCCATCCCTGCTGGCTGAGCTAAGCTTGCGCAGGAAGATGTTGGCTTTGCCAAGGCATGTCGCTGTGATGCCTGTGTAGAGGTTGTGCCTTCCTTGCAACGAAGCTGCATCACATTGATGTCAGTCCTTGCCTCCAAGGTCCAAGACTAGATGGGCATTTCTGTAGCCTACTGTCATTCCGGACTCAACGTTGGTGCAGTAGACGAACACAGATGAAGTAAATGATGCTGCGACGCCTGCCGCTAGTCTGTCCCACGTGGAGAGCAAGCGAGAAAACAGGCCGAGGGCGACATAGATCACGATCGCACAGCTCCACAGGTCACTGGCAGCCAGTGCATGCCGATCGCCCTGTGAATCCTCGTTGTCGGGACGATCGGGGCAGGAGACGTGACCCTTCACCGGGCTCCGTACACGCACCAGAGAGCTCCAGCGCTTGGAGAAGAGCTCTGGTGCCATGTACGGCACACTGCCATTCACCTCCAAGAGCCCGTGCTCTCAGAAACCCTGGCGCCTTCACGGCTTGACGTGGCCTGGCCCTCGGCCTGGCTCTCCGGACACCTGACATGACATGTCTTGCACACATCAGCATCCCAAGGAGTTCGAAGGGCGCACGGGCGCACCGGATGTGAGTTGCGATGCCAAAGTCAGCTAATTTCAGCGTGGCACCGCCATCCTGACAGGGCCGGACAGCAGACCGTCGCAGGTCCCCAGGCTCTTCAAGGCCTCTTCAACTCTCCCTTCCAGCAAAAAGTTCTCGGGCCTGAGTTCACACGGGCATGGAATGCTTCATCTTTATTCATCTTGGCTTCCAGCTTCACGTCCCGATGAACAATGCCCATTGAGTGGCAGTACCTCGCAGAGGATGATGAGATTTGCGCGAAACTCGAAATCTGCCAATCTGCAGCTGTCAACTCAGCGCACGCCAAGGCATTGAGCATTTGCTCTGCAAAAGATCTTGCAATGTTCTCCGGTAGATGGCCGTTCGGAGACTCCGTCACCAAACCTCAGAGTTGCGACTGCAAGCTTGAGAGTTTTTTTTTGCAATCGGTGCAATGAGCGAGTAACTGAAAAGGTCTCCGCCGCAGCAATACTCCATCAGGAGAAAGACTGCCTTCTCAAGCTCGTTCAATGTGGTGCTATCATTGCACGGGATGTCTTGCTGGGACGCATCCGTGGCCTCGGCGTCTTCATTGACTTCGTAGAGGCGGACAACATTCGGATGGTCCAGCATGCGCAGGTTCTGACAAGGGTGAACAGATAAATTTCAAAGGTAGCGCTCGTGCAAATACAAATCACTTGCTAGTAGTGCCTTGATCTCAGCACGGAGGGCGCTGGAGTCTTGCTCTGCCTTAAGATTGCAGCAATCTCGCTCGAAAGTCAAAAGAACTCTCCAAACTCGCCAACGCCTTGTGCAGAACTTTACAGGCATAGTACTGCTCGCTGACTTTGTGCTGAACCTCAAATCGTCCCGCAGTCTCCCTACTGCTGTAACGCTGCGCAGTCCTAACATCTGAGCAAGCTGCAATAAAGACAGCACCATTTCTTCCCTCACCTACAAGATTAACCATGTTGTAATCCTGGTACCTGCAGATGCTGGAAGGTGAAAATGTCGGCCACAGCAGCTCCGCAGAACTTTCCACGGCGCACGTGTCGCTCAGCTTTCTGTGCCAGCAGTGCACCAAGGCATCTCCCGGTGCCCAGCGAAAAGAAGTTGATGTCATTTGCTTGGAAACCTCATCTCGCTCACGGACAGGATATGTGTCAAGCAGTCGCTTGGCCGAACAAACACAAGCAGCACTGCGTAGGCACAGCACGAAAGTGGAAGTAACAGTGTGCACGGACGAGAATGAGGATGTGGGGGTTGCATGTGGGATGTCACCTGCTGTTTCCCGCACATCAATGCGAATGATGAACTGGCATGCGTGTTGCGAGACATCTGCCTGACAATGCGCCAGAAGACTTGGATCTGGAGTACGGAGCAACGCCCCTGCATCTTCGAGGCTTGAAAATTCTGCAATGTCCCACCACACGCTTGCAAGAGGCCCGCGCCTCTCACTGCTAATGGAGGCATTGGACTTGAAACTGAGAAGTGGAACAGGGCCGGGTGCAGCCGGCCGCCTTGCCATGGAAGCCACGCAATTCGAGAAACTCGCCTTGTGACAGTGCCAGCCATCCCACGGCAGACCTTCCCTTCCTTTCGGGCGTGGTGACAGTCTCCGTCACGTAATTCACCTGCATCCAAGGCCAGTGATTCGGTCACTTCGTGCACCGTATATGGCTTGCAGGCACCCCCCAGAGTTTCAAGCGCTCACCCCCGCACATCATATTTCCAGCATGTTGCACTTGTGATTGACGAGGCCTGTTCCTCTTCCCGTCTGGTGGGGATGGGAATGCCAATCGTCGCAGGCATAGCATTGGCCTGGAGATGCCATGCAAAAAAGAAGCGTCGCCCACACATGTGTGAAGCTTTTAGTCTTTAATGGTGATGTTGCTTTTCACAGACTCACGGGAGCTACTTGTGCGTGGTCGTACAGCTGGCACAACGTCGACTTCCTTCGCTCTCCCGCATGAGCATGCAGCTTTCCCCGAGAATTGAGGGTCATGGATACGGGAGTCTGCCGAGTATGCCGTAATTGGGCTTGCAAGCCACAACCGCAAGCTTTATGCTGTTGCTTGCATGCTCCTTCAGACGGCAAATGGCATACGCGCAGTCCTGCCTGTCTGGAACGAATTGCAAGTGTTGGCGGAGCCTGAACCTCAAACTCAACCACTTTTTTGAATACAAAATGCTGAGAGAAGTGTATGCCTCTGCATGGCTTGTGGCGCCCGGCAGCGGTGCCTGGCCGTGCTCAGAAAGGCCAGCGACCAGCAAGAGTGAGCGCGACGAATCGCCACGAGACACTCGGGACTCGTCCGCCTCGCAGTCCTCCCTTGTAACTTGGCTGGGCCCCGGATGCGGCCCCGGCCCAGCTGCCTTGGCAGCCCGTCGCCGCTGCTGCCGTTGCCGTACCAAGTACCGTCATATGTCCGAAGTTCCTCTCTGCCTTCTGAGTCTGAGTGCCTTGCTCCGGACGATCCCGTCGCCATCGCAGTCGGAGGTGCGAAGACGGCGGGATCCCGTCCTGGCGAGGAACAGATCGACGAACGGGAGAGAACGCGTTTACTGCTAGCGGATTCTGGCGCTCCTTGCGGGGGGCTCGTCGACTGACCACGGCAGGCCACCCCTGGCCAGCTGTTCAGTGCCGTCTATGCTGCCTTATGCCGAAAGAGAAATCAATGGTCCAATGCCGTCACCTCCCAGCCTGGTAAACAAAGACCCCCCAGGCCAGGTGACGTTGCAGGATAAGCTGTGCTCACAGCCTGCTATAGTAGAACTTCGTATCTTTTCGCACAAGCACAACGAGAAGAGACCCCGACCGTCATCTGGGAGGAGGTGTCTTGCATTTCAAGCCGGAACCGTGCAAGTGTCGGCGCCCTCATGGATCAACACAGATATCACCGCAGTCGGGGAAGATTTCCCGATTGCCCAAAAACCGAGACAAGCACTGTGCATCGAATCTCCGCCACGAACGACATGCGAAACACTGATGAATAGTCAAGCCATTTAAGCATTCAGCGTTGCGGGTACACGGCTGAAAACTTGGTTTTGGTGTCGGTGTTGTCGGTTCTTGATGCGTCTGCTGCTTCTGAATCGTCCTGACTGCTGACCGTCATGGTCTGGCGCTGTCTTGGCTGCCATGATTGAGGCCAGGCTATTGAATTGTCGAAGGAGCTGCGGTAGACATTGTGCATTATTATGCCATAATTCTGAAGTCCCTCGTTCCCGTTCTGCCAAATCCTAAGAACAAAAGCCTAGGCGACCAAACAAGCCCAAAGACGCAGCGAAGCACTGACTACTTTAGTGACGAGACGTTCGCACTTGCTCTTTTGGCTTTCTGGCCATTAATGGCTGCATGCCCGGCTTGAGTGACTTTCCTAGAATCTGCCCAGGCTCCACGTCGCTTGCGTCATCACCACGCAGGATTTCTCCAAGGGTCCTTCAAAGTCAGCGCCAAGGCGCCAAGCCTGAAAATGCGTTTCAGCCTCGCTTGTCACAGAGACCCTTTGCACAAATTGCATCAAGGAAAGTAAGAAGACAACAAGCACCGAGACGCTGGCTGAGGCCACCATGACACACGGACACCGGACACCGTGGGTCAAGGCCACTATGGCACCAAGGAACAGGAAAAGCAGCTCGACGAGGCTGCAGAAGACAAAGAGTAGGACGAGAACTGCAGCAAGCGACAAGTGATCATGTTTTGAAAAGATTTAAACTCTGTTTCTGCATTTCATCAAGCCCGGGAGACCGACCCCTAGCAAACCCAGCAAAATTCCATCACCAACAACTGAACTGCAGGAAGTGGACTGTAACACCACAAGCTGCAGTCAGAGCTCTGACTCAGGATCCTGCCTCTGCCTCTAGGGAGTTCGACTTTGGGGTAGCATGGGTCGGGTCCAGCGTGTTATTCGGATGCTTCTTTTCGGGGCATGACTTCTGTCTTGCCCAGAATTCCTAGCCATCATTGGGGTCGTCGCTTTGTACAGGCCCCTGCTACATTTGTGAGACGAGCTAAATAAACTTGAAATCAGCAGTCTCGGTTGTGCGCTCACTCCGCATCCTCGAGGCCTTCGTCCACACCTGACCCGGGCGACAACTCCGCGCACAAACAAGAACGGAGAGAGCAACTGATAAAGCAAACGAAGCACCGCCTTGCGCAGATGTCACTTCCTGGGTCATCCAATACCGCCCCACAGCATCTGAGGCAATCTCAGCACCCTCAGGCTTCTGGCGGCAACGCCGCTGCTGAGCTGGACAGGCTCGGGTTGCTGAGCTGGTGCGACGGGAGCTTCTCGGCACAGTTTCCAGTCGGTTGGGGTCTCTTGGTGGTAAGAAACTGGAACCAAGGCCTGGACCCTCTTGCGTGGACACCTGCCGAGCATGGCCACGAGCCACCGCGAGAGACCCCGAGCGTTGGATTCTGCTTACGCAGCCGAGAGCGTCCTGTGACGATGCGGCCGGCTGGCTCGTCCTTTCGCCGCGCTCGCTGCGCTCGCCTTCCTCGGCCTGGAAAGACACAGCAAGGAGGCTCGGATCGCCGCTGGAAGGTGGTCACCAGATCAGGAGTCCAGGGAAGATAAGCTGCTAGGCGAGGGATGAGACTTTTCTGCGCTCTGCTTGTGTCCGTGATGGTTCGGTCCGGTTCTGTGCTGCGCTTTGGCGATGAAGACTCGCATCCATTCGCTAGGACTGGCTCAGCCCTCAGAGTTTCACAGCCAAACGCGTGGGATGCAAAAGCCAAACCCAACCAAAATGGGAGAGGCAGGGAGAGGGGGCGCAACCCACGTCCGGAAGTGTCGGAAGTTGTGCGATCGCCTCCCCGGAGTGCGTGCGTGAACGAGCTGTGAGCTCTCATAGTCCGTACAGATGGTTACTCGCCTTGTCTAACGTTGAGCTTTCTCAATTCATGGTTGGCCTCTTGGAAAATCACGCCGGCCGGCTTTCAAAGTACTCAGTCCCAGTTCAGCTGTCCCCCATCCCATCCGTTGCTGGTCGGAGGAGCCTGCAGAGCAGCGTTGAGCCGACGTCCCTGGGCACGACCTCCAGACAAGACTCCGGCGCATTGCCACTTTCGTGGCAACCTCGTCAGGGCCGGAACTTGCCTTTGATTGCCGGTGTCCAGTGCGAGCTTTTGAGCAGTCTTGGACTCGCGTCGGGCCGCAGGGGAGCAAGCTAGTTGGGTCGGCAGGAAAAGATGGTGTACGAACGCGCGGTAAAGCAATCAATGTACGTCGGGAAGGGGTGTCCAATCCCCCAGCATCTGCCTCGACCCATGATGCCATCCGGTCCACGTTGCTCTTCACCTCCTTCTGAAGCTCCTTGTACCGTTCCGCGGCGCGGCTGATGTCCTGTGCGCTGGAATGGGTAGCCGTGAAGCGATGTGCGAGGATTGAGGACATCGGCAATTGGACCTGAGATGCTTCGCCCAAGGCCGAGCCGTCACCGAGACTTTCTGCTGCCAGCTGCACGGTTTCTTTCCATGCCTCGGGGAAACCAAACACCGACGAGGAGCCGACGCTGACAAGGGCACCAGGGTCCGTGCCTGGTGCAATACGGCTGCCGCTCGCGCATGCAGCGACTTGAGCTTCATGACCTTAGCTCTGTGAGCTTCAAAGTAAAACATCTGCTAACTGGTGCAGCAAGTTGAGCGGTCAAACCATCTGCGTGTCTTTCGCCAGCTCCTGTGCTTTCATGCATGGTGGATATAACGTAGACTCAGACTGTTTTACCCGCCTTCGCCTCCGGTCCCCAGACTTCTGTGTGCCAGCCAGCAAGCAATTCCTAGCAGTCCAGAAGCTCAAAGTCCAGACTGTATCGCTCATTGGCTCGTTGGGCCTCCAGCGCACGACCTCGCTCCTTCTCGGACCTCGCGTCGGCACACACCAAGCAGATGTTCTTCGGCACTTCCCCCACCGAAGAGAAAACTGGATGCAAAACTCCTGGTGGAAGTAGCAGGATGCATGACTGAAGGCAGTGATGGAGAAAGAAGGAGACAACGAAATGGAGAAGTGCTGCCTAGGCAGAGATGCGGTGAGCATACGTCAGGCGGATATTAGTCCAGCGGTGGCACCCAAGATACTGCAGACCAGGCACTGCAGGCACATCTCCGCCGCTTTGGGCTGCTGCTCGGCCAGGTAATCATGAGCTGCAAATCGTGCCTGGCCGCAGCAAGAACAGAAGACTTCCTTTCGTGAATGACTGTGTTGCAACACTCTGCTTGTTCTCTGCTGGTGCATTTGAGGATTTCTCTACGCAACTGTACAAAGCGAGTTGGAAGGATCCGATTCGATTCGGCAAAGACGGGCGTTAGGCCCGGTTTGGGAGAGCGACGAACCTTGCTTGGAACAGAGGTCCGCATCCTTATGCTGCAGTCGGAGACGGGAACGGGATCGGAAGCGGAAGCAGAGTACTATCTCGAGCAGAGTTGCCCTGTTCACCTCTCGTAGTCTGTCCACTGTCGAATGCGGATTTTGTCAAAGTTGAGTGGCCACTGAGAATAAGGGATAATAAGGGGAACTCTGCATCCACCCAGCGACTGTTCTGCACGCTGCTGTGCGGACGCTCCGCAGTGTCTCCATGCTCTGCTGTCGAGCTGGTTGCTGAGGATTCGCCCTTGTCAACAGTTGTCACAATATAGGTTTTGGAGCATGTCGCTCTGTTCTGAACTTTCGCAAGCGCAACCTTTTGTTCGCCGCGACGTGATTCGTGCGCAGCTCCCCAGCACGCTGTGGATGCCATGCAGATGCATGTCGGTTCCGTGTGCAAGATTACACAAGCCCCGAACTGGGCCACATAATCCCTTCGACATGTTGCCGTCAAAACGGGGGAACGGGTGGGTGTCATTTGTTGAGTTCTGGCAGAATTCGACTGGCGCAGCCAGAAAAGCAAGAGAGGGAGGGCGGGGAGAGGGAAGGCAAGGAGACGGTGAGAGCGAGAGGACGATAATCCAACTCCTAAGCCTCGACGAAAGCTCCGGGGCTCCACAGAACTTGGTCAAGGACCGCAGTTGCTTCTGCCCGGGTTGCCAGCAGTTCCTGCAGAAGGTAGTGGTCGACGTCCGAGAAAAATGACTCCCTGCTGGCATCCTCGATGTCACGCGAGGCCGCGCCGGCCTGCCGTGACCAGGCTCTACAGCTTCTGTCTGTACTAGTACCTGTTGAGCGTTTGCCAACTACCCAAACAGTTAAACACCAGGGAGCCCAGGGTCGAGAATGAAGAGCCAAGTGGCTCCGAAATGCATCCAACAGACACGGCGTAGATCTCACGAAAGACAGAACGATTCTGCGAAGTTGAATACTAATATCGACCAGGGCCCCAGAGAGGCCAAGCGGCTAAGCCGCGTTGAGCTTTTCTGGGGAGCAGAGCCTCTCAGCCTCCCTCGCTTGCGGCAGCAGGCCATTTGCAGCGAGGACGGGCTGCTTTCAGAAAGAGGGCTTCACTACGTACTGTGACCTGGCATCTTTAAATATCTTTAAGGAGCTTTCATTGAATTTGACTGGTCTGGTTCGCCCCCCACTGGTCCTCGAGGAGCAGTCGCTGTCTGTCACCCACCTTGCGGGCTTCCACCTCCCAGAGTCTTAACAGCCATAACGCTCTTTCACTGCACGTGGGCCGTGGGCCTCCTCGATAGAGAGCTCTCTCTGTAGCTCTCCCGCCACGCGCTGTGCACTGGCCTTTACCTCTGCGGTCCGGTCAGACACAGGGGGATTTGCCTTGTTGCTTCTGGCTTTGCAAGCTGTGCATTGCACTAGCCGCTGCCTGGCGCTCGCGTTCCGCAGAGGCGAGCTGTGCTGCCAAGGCCTGGGCTGCGTAACACGTGCCCGACAAGCCCCGAAAAAAGCACACAGGAAGCATATGGAGGCGCGGGCTACTCTAAGCTCGGTTACTCTGTCAGACGCACGTGTGCAAAACGCAGCTCCCGTGAGAAAGAATGGTTGTATCTGGCAGTTTTGCTGTGTCGCGGGCCACGTCAATCTGTTCATCCACCACCTCCGTCAACGCACACGTCAGCTCAGTCATGCCAACGACTGCACGACCGCAGCAAGGCATCGGCGAATCGGGCTTCCGCATGAAGTCCGCTAGCCCTAGATTCCTAGATGCAAGATGATGCAAGCACATATTTCGTTGCAGGCCTTCAACTGGTTTGCCAGATCCTCTCGCTGCTTCCGGAGCTCTTTCAAGCGTGCCTCGAGCGCCTGCGAAGCAGCGAAAACAGGCGTGGCAAGATCATGGTCGGACAGTGCCCAGGGGCCAGGGCCCCGCGCCTGCTGCTCTTGCTGCATGGAGGCAATCTCTGCCTTCAAGGCGGAAAAATGCACGCCGCGTCTCATCGGCTCTGTGCGGCCTGAAAGCCTTCGGAGCTGCTTGCAAGCCTCAGTGCGAAAGCCGGAGCAGGGCGTCAGCAGCCTTCGCCGTGGTCAGGGCTGTTGGTTGAGACCACCACCGGCCTGGCGACTGTGAAACCCCCGCCACTCAGGAGAACCGAAAACAGGCGAGCGCCGCAGTGGCCCGTGCTTCAGCAGCACTGGACAGAGCCTCTGCAAAGTTTATGCAGCGGAAATGTGCATGTCTAAGCCAGCTAGAACCTGCCAATCGATGACGCATGCGCACGTGAATCACAATAACAGTGAAAGCGCAACATGGGATTCTGCTCAGATGCACGGATTGAGATCGAGTAAGCAGCGGTGGCCTCTCTGAATTCAGAGCTTGCGCTCGATACCGAAGTACAGAAGATGCGGACTGAACGGCGATGCTTCATGGCGAGACTAATGCCAGACTGTTGCGCTATGTGAGCGCTGCTGTGCCGGATTGATTGATTGATTGATTGATTGACTGCCGTGGGTGCAAACACCCTTGCACTTCCAAGGCAACAGAGGCTCTGCGGCTGTCTGAGGCTTACGCGGTCATGCGGGCTTCACTTTCCATCCTCATGGCCGCGAGTTGCTGCGCCTGATGTTGAGGCGTATGCACTGCATGAGTACAACCGGAAACAATCAAGATGTGCATACGGCTTATGCATCTGCTCAGGAAGCTACCATTCCCTCCAAAGGGTCTCGGCGAGGAGTGCTGCTCTGGGACAGCTGGTTGCACACCTTAAGCGGGCGCCAAGCAGGCTTGCAAGATCTTCTCGCGCCATGCTCTGGGCAAGCGACTTTTCGTAAATTGCGAAAATGCCGGCTGCACTCCTGGCGAGCATTCGGCCGTTGCCGCAGCATGCAGCTTTGTTGCATCGCATGCGGTTTGACCAGGACCCGAGGCTGGATCTCCGTGCCTCCGCTCGGCCCAGCTGCTCCAACCAGCGAGGCACCTGCCCCGCGTCTCGCCATGTGATGGCCGATGGCCACCTGAATGCCCTTTTTTCAAAGGCCTTGGCCGGCCTTCCCTTCGCCTGCACGCTCTGGCCGGTTGGCAGCCAGGGTGACCTCGGCACAAGCTGGGGCACACCCACGTCCTGCCCTTTGGCTATGTGGTGCAGGGGGACCCATGCAAGGGCTAGGACCGCATACAGCTCGAAAAGAAAAGAGTATAAACACCTGATTGTATGTCGTTTTGTCAGCACTCTCGTTCTATTGTGATGTGTACGAACACGATTATCTCTGCCGTCATAAGTTTTACCAGTCGCGTGATTACCCTGACCGTATCTATTGCAAGGACAATGTAGAGACTCTATAGTATAGGTAAAGGAAGTCTGATGGACCCGACGACGACGTCACCATCCGATGACGATGACCATGACGACGATGCCGACGACGACGACGAGGCCGACGACGAAGTCGATGACGATGACGAAGACGACGACCAGGACGACAAGGACGAGGACGAGGACGACGGGGATGACCGCGACGACGACTCTGATGGTGATGACGAGTGTGATGATCATAACGATTCTGACGGTTCGGACACTTCTGACGATCACGATGATGGGATGATGATGATGATGACGACGATGCTAACGATGATGACGACCACAATTAAGATGAGCACGAAGATGATTTTGAACGATTCCGTGACGATGACGATGATGATGACGATGACGATGACGACGCTGGCGCGGGCCGCGATGATTATCATTAGATGTCGCCACTGAACAGTGTCACGACAGGTTACAACTAGTCTTATTGTCTACAGTCCAAACCAAAGACAAAGGGTTGCTTGATTGTCGCTTGGATTTGCAAACGAGCACAGAGCCTTCAACTGCCTTCAACCTTGATCAGCCGAATAGTTCCAGCCAAGTTCGAGTTCGCGACAGCCGTGGCTGTTAGTCGCGTGAATTGCCTGCAGCAGGCCCGCATAACACCACCGCGCCCATTTTCTTCTCGCAGCTGCGAATATGAAATCTCAGCATGTCACAGCTCATCACTTCCCGTGAAGCAGAGATATTCGTCTTCCTGGAAAGCACTCTCCGGCTGAGCCGTGACATGGGACAAGGAAGGTCCTATGTTACCTTCTGGCCTTGCCCACTCCTTCACTGCCTCGCCGAAGCCATGCAATGTCTACCCGACTGCCAGCATGTCCGACCACCTCAGCCGAAGATGCATCTGATCGCCAACAGCAATCCCTAGTCCCTAGTCATGATGTGAAACCCCATAATTCAATGGGTTGGAGCACTATACATGCGAATCCATGGGCCCGGCAGGCCAACCGACAGATAACGGCAACCAGTGACACAGTGTTTGTGAGGTGGCAGGGATGCTTGCTTGAAAGCCGCCTCTGACGTTGACACGTCAGACTCTGGTGGCTGTTCCTGCTAGCTTCGTTTGTGCCAGACGGTCTTATCCAGCCGTCCTGACGGTGCTCATCTCTAATCCCTGCAGTGAGGTGCTGTCGACACAGGGGCTGAGGTCCCCGCTTTGGCCCGGAACCAGCGCCCGTCTCCAGGCCAGGAAGCCCAAACCTTTCGAGTCCCAAAAGCTGCGGCCTGCAAACGGCTCAGCTGCCTCGTGGGCCTCGCTGTTGAGTGGCGGCAGCTCAGCGGAGGCGGCGCTGGCGGACCCGACGACATCGAGCGAACGACGCAGTTCACCGGCATCATCAGCGGCCACCTGCCGGAATGCTGTCTAAAAGCCCAAACACAGAACTGGAGGGTCTTTGTGCCTCTTCCGCATGAAGCAGAGACGCCGACAGCAGGGCCAGGATCCACTGCAAGTCCTCTCACCGCCAGGGGGAAAGTTTCAGTTGTGGGCGCTCCGTTAATTACACTGCGGTGGTGCCGAAGAAAACAAAGGAGACCATGACGAAGCAGAGCCAGAGCATGAGCAGTGCCAGCATCGCCTGTGTTGCAGAGTCCATGACAGCTTCGGCACCAGGCCTCTTCGCCTCACAGCAAATGCCGCACGCTCTGCCGGTTGAAGCGCTCAGTTTAGCGCCAAGTTCGGCCTGAGACTTTTCATCCGCTGCATCGGACAGCAACATGAGCAACTGCCTGAGATGTGACATTAGGCTGCGAGTACGCCGGAATGCATTGGCTCACCGTGGAGTCGAGGCACTTGACCAGTGGAGCCGGCACAGCACACGCACATGCCAAGATCTCCTGAACCAGGAGAATGTTACGGTACTAGTACTGCCCAGACATGAGCCGTATGGGTCCTTCAGGCAGACGCCTGCCTCTCCCTCCAGCATCGGCCTGCCTCGACTGTGCAAAAGTGAGTGTGCATTCTGCCTCGACTGGAGGCCCACCCGTGGCTCCATGTGGCTCCGTGGCTCCGGCTCCCATGGCTCCCGAGGGACCCTTCGGCTTCTGCTTCGGCCGCTGCTCGCAGTACAGCCCGACCTTGACATCATGGATCAGGCACAGGCGGCATAGCGGCATACCCAACCCGCAGCACAGGGAGTCCACCAGCTCTGGATCGCGTCAAAGCAGTCAGGGCAATATGTAGCGCTTGACTCCTTAGCGAAGTTACAACTCTTGGCGGCCATGTACCATCTGGGCAGGCACCCGGCACCTCCCCTGTCCGAGGCAAGTACCTACCCCGCGAGCACAGTGAGGATGGGCGGTAGGTGGGAAGGTAAACGCGCGCAAAATGATGCCGTCTTGCGGGGTACCTTCAGAAGGTACCCCGCGGAAGTAACCCGCGTGGATACGGCCGATGTGGGATTGGAGGTGGGTGGGAAAGTAATTCTCCGGCACGGGCAAAGGGACTGTTTCTTGCGACCTCGCAACTATCACCCGCAAGGACGGGGCTGGGGGTTTATGGGGATGAGCTGGAAGGTATCCAACATGCACGAAAAGGATTCCCTCTTGCAACGTACTTCCAGGAGGTATACCCCTCAGAAGTAACCTGCGCAAGTCACCAGCCGGGACAGGGTGAATGGGGGCTGGGTGGGAAGGTATCCTACGCGCGCACAGGCATTCCCGAAAGCAGGTTTGGGGGATGGGCAGTGGATGGGAAGGTTTCCACTGTGCGCGAAAGGATTCCCTCTTGCGGGGTCTGCGGAAGCAGCCCGCGAGGACAGGGTTGGTGTGGGATTACTCGGGAAACGGTTATAAGCACGGTACTTGGAGTTACAAGTAACTAGGTAGAATCCTAATGTCATCCTAATGACTAAGCTCCAAGATCCTTTAAGTAGACGTGGAGTACCCCGCGCAGATAATCCGCGGAGAGGTATTGCAAGATCCCACATCCTCAGCTGCCAGGTATCTAGCCCGCGGAGGTACCTGACGCGCGGGCTGGGTACGTAATGCCTGCAGGCTAAAGCAGGTCTTCGCACTGCAAGCCGCCTAGAGTCTAAGGCCTGCTGCGATCAAATGTTCAGTGATGTGATAAGTTTTGGTTTGTGGCATCTATCATGGTGGTGCCGATCGTGAGCGGCGCTTTCAACTATTGAAGCGTCCGCTCAGTGCAGCATCGGCCCTCGACCCTTGGCCGGGCCACTGTTTACAAAAGCCGAGGTGCTGAAGCAAAGCCTGCAAGGCTTCAGAAGCCCTTCCGGCAGCCCTGCCTGAGGCGCTTGCCGCGCAGGCTTGCAGCATTGTCCCTTTAAGCCGCGTGCTCGCAACTACTTCCGGAGGCCTGGTGTGTCACTATCCGCACGCTCAGGGCGCTTCAGACGGGCCTCACCGCACCACGGCACAGTCTTGGAGTACTGTTGAGATTTGAAGGTGCCAGGCCCGCCTGCCAGGCCCGGAGGACCTGAGCCACATCGGCCACCAGCAAGCGGATTGCACCTCGGCATCCATCGGACTATGTCGGAAGGCCCTGCCATGTAAGCGTCAATGCCAAGACACCCGGGGGTTCCAGCTGCTTGGCTTCCCTTACGAACCTGTGGACCTGCAAGAAGAGCACAGGAACTGCAGGGCCACAATGGACAAACTCGGGATGTGGCAAGCTCTTCTCGGGACCCGTTTGTCAGACCCTGACATGCACAATGAAAGACGAAGAATGAAAGGCGTGAAGGTTGCAAGCAGACCTCGGAGGTCAAGCCAAGCGAGGACACACCACCAGTAACCTGCGGGAGCAGCCACGGGCTCGCGGCTCCCACTGCCATGGGCGAGGCTGTGGGCTGTGGATACTGCGGGCCTTGTCTGCAACGTTGCTTAGAGCTGCCTGGCCAGACGACACAAACGGCTGGTGGACCTTTGGGAGCACTGGCCTCGCCCTGCCTCACCCTGCTCAGCCAAGGTTTGCGCTTGTGCCAGAAATTGCTCTCCAAGGTGCTGCAGCTCTGCCTGTGACAAGGCTACTCAGCCTCAAGGCTCAAGCCTGTCCTCTCAAATGCAGGTCTAACGTGACTAAGCCAATCAAGAACGAGGAGACAGGACAAAACCTAATGTCTTCGGAGGACCATGAACAATGCAGCGATGAATATTCGAGAGCATTGCGCCGTCGGACATCCTCCGCCGATGCAAAGCGAAATCCAGGGCGGGTTATGGATCAGAGCGTTTCCGGACAATTGTGCAGCAGTAAAAACCTGAATACTGGGGATCATCGGTGATTATAGCAAGCCGGAGAGCCTGTTCAGCAAATCGTTGGACAGAGTTGGCCGCCCGGTTCCAAGTGTCCCTGGGCACAACCAACAGCACAACTCTTGCTTAGGCCGACCATGCTCAGCACGCGTCCTGAACTGGTTGTTCCACTCCTGGCAAGCCAAAGAATCTCGGACTCTGGGACGCCGTGAGAGTGCCGTCCTGCGCCCCTCCCCGAAGCCAGGACATAGCACAACACCAGCTCTAGGAGTGGAGACCGCAAGGGCCAGGCTTAAATCGCGGTGTGTAGTCTAGTGTGCTAGATTCTCTTGCACGTCGGGAAGGCGCTTGGTGTAGCTGCTACGTGAAGTTGCCAGCTTATCGGGAATGGTGTATTCTGATCCGTGTTGTGACTCGGTCATCAACTGCAAGGCTCTGGCTCGGTCCGTTTAGTTGATCTGCTGGCTTAAGAAACCCAGTGCTCAGCGAGACTCGGAGTTGCTTTGCAAGTGGTGAACGCTGCCCAGCAGTAAGCAATGCGCAGCGGTAAGATACAGGTGTTTTCGTCAATGAGAGGGGCCTAGATGGCCAAAAGGAGCTGGCACTGCCTCGATAGCTTCCCGGCGAGGGTGAGACAACTCACGAATTGACATTAATTTGGCGCTCCCCCAGTCCACAACAGTGGACTGCCGTTTGGCTGTGGAAAGTGCCACCAGGCTTCACCTCTCTCTCGACTTCTCGGCTGAAGTGTGTGACAGAATGATATGACTACAGCGATTGAAAGTGGAAGGCAAAGCTTGTGGCTGCTGTCGTGATAGGCTGTCCAGGCACACTTTGTGCCGACCAGCACCTCTCCTGGCATTGCCAACTACATATTGTGCTGGGCAATAAACGGTGCACTTACGTAGAGCACACTTGAATCAGACAAGACCGAACCTCATGCACCTTGAGTAGACGCTTTGTGCTAGCGACAGCCGCCCAGAAGACAGGCCTTTTCTACGCATGGTCTGTGTTACATCATGATCTCCATAGAATGCCAGGGTGTTCGAGACAGCAGCTTCTGTCGTAAGCTATCATAAATGCCTGCATCGCCAATATTCGGCTTGCTGCATTTTCCTCTTCGTAACTTGCGCCTTTCGAGCGCAAGCCAGTATGACTCTGATCCTACTTGATCTACCGAAGCTACTGGCCGTGAAAAGAGACCTTTTGGCCAACTGCACTGAAAGCGTGTGGCCCCACCGGGCAAATTTAGCGCAGGCACTTCTTGCATTTGGGCCCGGGTGTGCCTAGTTTCTGTTCTATTATGCGTTCATGATTTAGTTCACAAGCAGCAGACGTGATTTGGCCACTGCAAGATTGCCTCATCTAGCGAGTACTGAAACTTGCCTTTGGCAAGACAGACACGCTTGTCTGATGTCATCTGCAAGTTGAAGCTGCAGCGGATTCCAGTGACTTGACGGAAGACAACACAACATACCTTGGCTGCACAGGTCTGCAGAGTCTGCATGCTAGGGATCAGTCCGGGCATACGATCTCGAAGCCCGCCTGCTTTCCCCCGGCAGGCTTCCCGGTGTCAACACTTCCCAGACGATAAGATTGCGTTTTCGCTTTGTGCTGAGCTGTTGTACACCGCCCGTAAGTCCAAAAAGTCGGTTTGTGAGTATTTGTTGCGACATGTCTTCACCTTTCTCGCCGAGGGTTCGGCAGAGGCGACTTCTGCTGAAGCGTTGCCGCTGGCGTCCCTGCCAGTGCGGTGCCAGTGCGGTGGTCCAGGAAAAGCCCCCACCACTTCCGGAGCTAAGGAGTATGCCCTCCCAGCTGCCGCTTTGGACTTTGGAGGCTGGCAACGAGAGATGTTGTCTAATTGTCGGTTTTTTGGTCTAGTGACTCTAGTGGCCATTGCTGCCTACATGCGAACGTTGCAATACCCTCTGGCTTCCTTCGAAGGGATCAGTGGCAAGCGTTGCTGCCCTCGATTCGATCTCATTCTGCTGCTGTCTCCAGGCTTAGTGCCAATTCGATGTGCTTGACAGACTTTCACCTGTCTGCTGTCGTGCCAGCTCGCAAGGGGCTAGTCACACTCTAGTCGTAACCGTCACCTAACACACCAGGCAGCGCTGTCATGACAAGCTAAAGCCCACGCGCGGCTTTGCTACCCGCAAGTGCTGCATAAACTCGCTTTTGTGGCAGGTTCTCACATAACATGACGGTTCTCCAGTGTGTCCATGGATCGGTATGCTGCGATTCATTCCTTGGTGCTGCCACTCCAGGCTCTGCCCCGCTGTTGCACAGATTTTTTTTGGATGGCCACACTTTCGCGGTTGTTGGAAGCTGCTTCTCGAGAGGCTGCCTGCTCACATAAGCAACAAGAACGATGCTCCTCCAGTTCCAAATATCATCTGGGTTCGTTTGTTCTTTCCGCAAAAGCCTTCCTTGCTTGCTTCCCTACTCTCGTGGTTGCAGTGCAGGGTTGGTGGCCTTCCGGCTATAACTACTCGAATCTGCGTCTTGTGCAATTGTTGTCTCGCCTTGGCAAAGCTCCGCCCTTCAGCCGGCTGCCAAGTTGCACGCACCAAACCATCACCAAGAGGACGCTCGTGATGCGTTTGAAAACTCTTGGGCCACCAAGCTCCCCACCAAAAGCCTCAAGTCTCCATATTTGATGCTCGAGAAAGGCCCCAACTCTCGCGCCTTGCCTTCCGTCGCAGGAACAAGATGAACATGCAAAAGAACGCCCCGACACAGAAGATCACCACGCTGTAGCCCAAATCTCCACCTGCTCGGGAGTTGCAGAACATCGCAGAAACAAGCCGTGTGCAAGCCGTCCGGCTTGGTCTTGAAACATGATCTTCAACTGCACTTCTACCACAACAGGCTAAGCATTGTGATTTTAACATGGTGCATTGACTCTTGGTGGCGGGCGTGTCCAGAATGTTGTCAACTGAGCCCCGATTCGGTTGGCTCTTCGTCGAGACTAGTTGAATAAATTGCAATGCATTCTGCTCATTGAAACACGATCTGCAGGATGCCGGCCACATGCAGAGATGTGGCTGTCTCTCAAAGCAAAGGTGCTAGTAACGAAATAGCCCCTGCTGCCTTCTCATCTGTCCAGAAAGAAACACGCAGGAGGTAACGAACCGAAAGCCGGACAAGTCTCACGACAACACGCTCGTGAAAAGACTGGTCTTATCATGCTCGTGGCAACCCTCAACAAGCATGGGTCGGAGCTCGACACCAACCTGAAGCCCCTCGACTGACGCTACTCGAATAGGGACATGCTTCCAAACTCAAAAGTCCTTTCCCCATAAACCCTGAGCCTGAGCACAGGATAAACGCCAGAGGCCCTCCATCCGGACAAGCAAGACCCCAACAAACACACTCTCGAAAGGGAAGCCTGGTATCTTGCGAAGTCTCGAGAGGCTAACGGGCCCTGCCTATAACGATGAATTTACCACCGCCCGTGTTCCAGAGGTCGAAGTTCGCCTTCAAGGTGCCAGAAGCCGACTTCGCAAAGCCCTCGCCACTGACTGCTTTGCAACCAAACACCCTGCGCTCGTGGCCTCGGACTCGTACTTCTTCTGCCACTCCGCGCTGCGACCAACCGAGGCCCAGTAGCAGGAGCCAATCGTCCAAGGGAGGCCAAGTCCAAGAAACCTGAAACGCAAGACTTCACAACCCTGACTCTCGCACATCTCATGCATCTCATGCCCTGCCCTCTCCTGAGGTCGCAGCACGTTGACCGAGTTACTGCCGGTCACGTTGCCGATCGAGGCATCGGCATAAGGGTCCTGTCCCAGCAGGCCCCTGCTGCACAATAACCCGAAATGGCAATCTATCATGCATGTTTAACTGTTTAACTGAAGACCGAAGAACTGTGCTGCATGCTTTTCCGACATCGACTGGAACCATTCTGACTGCCGTACCGCCTGCTCTGCGGCGGCTTTGGAGGCAAATGTGTCCGGCAAAGAGGTGCCTAAAGCAACCTTAGGCAGCGTCACAGTGTGTCTTTCAATGCAAGCTCGCGAAGACCTGCAAGCGATCGCAAGCTTGGATATGCGCCAACGTAATTGCCGTAATGAAGTCCGGCATGTCCAGAACACAGCCCACAAGCCCCTCAGTAACGGGGATGTGCTGCACATGAAGCCATTGCAATGCATCTTGGTCGCCCACAGCGAGATCGCTGATGAGCGCTGTCACCAACCCAATGAACATCAGGGAGAAGTAGAAGCACAGCCAGCCACCACAATAGTCCTTGCAGGTACATCGAGCGAGCACGAAGCAGCATGTGACTGTCCTCCGCTCCGCAGTGCCTAAGAATCCGACGACCGGCGGAATAATGGCAAAGAGCAGCTTCCACGGCATTGTCAGAAGGTGCAACGCCCACTGAAAGCCAGAGGGAGGACCGGCCTGCACAAGCCGCAAATAAGGGCACCGGGAACACCATATGGCAATGACATCTGCAAGGAAGCAACACACGGTTCCTCATCGTCGCCACCATTGACCAGCAGGGCATTGATGAACTGATCCTGCGCGAAAAGCATCACAACAACCTCAACGGTCCATGTATGTAGCATCAACCGGTGGTTGTGCAAGCAATCGGACATACGGAATCTTCCCAAACCGGTGACAGCGGGTCCTTCCAGTTCTCGTGGCCCTTCTGCGTCTTTTGCCAATTCACTCCCAAAGCCCGCATAGTTCTGTGGGCGAGGTTCTTCGACACCTGGCGCAAGGCATACACTTAAAGGTTCTCTTGCTTGAACTCAAGAACCGGTCCATGAGCTGCAGACTTGGTGACAAAGCTTCGTGTGGACGAGAAAGCGAAGAGACGCATCTCTATTGCATGACCATGACATTCCCAACTACTCGTCGTGGAGTCGCTTTCACCTCACCTCCTCAGGTGTGAGTACGAAGGTGACGATGCAGCTGTCCTCAGACATTCATTGGGACGAGTCGGCTTCCTTTCCGGCCTCGTCTCCCTTGCATCGAATCCAAGCGACGGCTCCCCCATCCGTATTAGGATCGAAGCCTGCGCGTCCACTTGCATCCGACAGTATGAGCCGGAAGTCCTCAGAACAAAGGCAGCTTCGCTTCAGCTTCTGGGACTGTTGGGGGCATGTTACAAACTCATATCTTTACAAACTTCATTGTCCTGAATCGGAGACCGTGCATGTCAAGATGGACCTTCCCTAGGCCGAATGTGCGACTTTGCATCAAAGGAACAGATGTGGCTGGAGTAGTGGAAGTCAGGA